TCATCGTGAGAGCTAACATTTACCGGGCATGCACTGTGCATTTTTTTGTACTTTACCTATAATAACTCATTCCATACTCAGGTAACTTTGTGAATTGGGTACTATTATCCCCGTATTACAGATGAAGAAACGGAGGCCCAGAGAAATTAAGAAACTTGCTCAAAGTCACATTGTAGTAAACTGTGGAACTGGAATGCATCCCCAGCAGCCTAGCTCCGGAGCCCGAGCTCTTCGCCTGGAGGCTGCTCATTCCGAGAAGCAGCCCCCCAGCCTCCAGGCTGGGTTGGGACCCCCTCCTCTGCCCCCCTGTAGCAGCTCCCACTTTCCTGCATAACTCACACTGCACTGACTACAATCCTCTGTGAGGGTAGGAGCTCTGTGTGGTTCACAAGGGTCAGGTTCAAAAGTCAGCATCTCACTTGCCCCCCAAATCCCATCACCCCCATGTGTACCCAGCCTGCGGGGGATTCTGACAAATGCTCAGCTTTGAGGAACATTGAGCCAACTCAAAAAAGGAAGAGAAGGGGCTTCTCTTTCATTCAGATATTTGGGGCTCTGGAGCCTTTTAAGAGCACTCTTAAATCCTCAGCCAGTACACAGGGGTGGGGGCAGGGAACTGTAAATACTGCTCTCCGATGCAGGGTGGGGTGGGGGTGAGGTGCTTACAAGCATTCTGCTTTGCTCTCAGTAAGTGTGTTTGTTGCTCTGCAGGATAAAGCCCAGGGGAGCCATGGGCAGTCCAGGAGACACTTCACACCATGTTGAGCTAGTGCTCTGTGAACTGAAGGCCACACTGACCTTTGGCCTTGCCTTCATCCTTGGTTTCCCTCCTCCTTATTATTTCAACAAATGTGTGCTTGGCAAGGAGGCGGCCACGGTCAAGGAAAGCACTGGTCCTAGTCCTCAGGGAGCGCATAGGCTATGTTAGACCTCAGACTATGCCAGGGTTAACCATCAGGCAGAGAAGAGAACAATTCCCAGGGCACAGACAAGGTCCCTCTGCTGTTCAGATTCCTTCCTGCGCAAAGGTGGCAAAACTGGGAAATGCTACTGGGAGGAGGCAGCAGCTGAGAGACAGGAATATTTGACCTGTGGTTACAAAAGGTCTCAGTATCCATGACACTGGCAGACTGTATAAGAGATCAGACACACCCATCTACCCCCCTGCAAATACAGGGCAATTCTGTGAGAAGAAAACGCTCCAAAAAAACAAACTGTCCCTCATTTCACACATCTCATCCTGGCCCAGCCGGCAGACTGTGAAGACTTGGGGTTCTAGGTCCACCTAGAGGTACCTCTTGATGCAAAGGTGGTGTGGGGAGGATGGCAGGGAACTCTCATGGCCTGAGCCTGAAGGGTATGCCAAGAGTTGTGTGCTCTGCTTTACACACATCCGGAGGGTGACAATGCCATCATCTGGCAGGTGAGGAAACGAGGCTAGAGGGCTACACAACTGGCCTGAGGTCACAAAGCTTGGAAGGCAGCCTGCCCAACCCCAAAGCTGATGCTTGGTCCCCTTGCCCCAAGGCAGTAGGGTTGGGCCCCAGAAGACTGAGGTTTCCAGGGCTCAGATAAACATGCAGTGCAAGAGGTTTCATTTATTCATTCGACTATTCCTTCATTTAACAAATGTATACTAAGCATGTGCCACATTCCAGGCAGTGGGGATATAGCAGGGCACAAGTCAGGTGATGCCTCTGCCCCATGAAGCAGCACACGTTCAAGTACAAGGACACGATTAGCAAATACACGCATGAGAGAGACTCAGACAGTGAAAAGTGTGATCGATGAAAGGGGAACAATTCGGGGTTGAGACATTCAGGCAGACTGGTCAAGGAAGGTCTCTCTGAGCTTTTAATCAAAGGCCTGAATGTAGTCAGGGAAGGGGAAGGGCATTTTGGCAGAGGGAACAGAATGGGCAAAGACCCTGAGAGAGGAATAACATCGATGCATTTTAGAAAGGCCAGTATGGCTGAAGCTGGGAGTAAAGAGAATAGTAAGATATGGAGCTGTAAGTAGAGATAGATCAAGCAAAGTCTTGTAGGCAACAGGAAAACATCTGGATTTGAATTCTGGAGAGGCCATAGTGGATAGTGGTAGAGGGTGTAGGCTCTGGAGTTGAAGTCCTGAGTCTGTCACGTGCTAGTTGTGTGACCTTAGACAAGTTATTCAACTTTTCTGTTTTCTATTCAGTTTCTTCATCTGCAAATGGAGATAGTAATACTATCTACTTCAGAGGATTATTGAAGGTCTAAATGAGTTATTTCACATATAGCACTTAGAACAGTGCCTGGTCCATGGGAAGCTCTCAAACATTATTACTTCTGGAGTATTTTAAGCAAGGCAGCCACATTATCTTGTGTATGGTTTTAAAAATCACTCTGGGGCCGGCTGAGTGGCTCAGTTGGTTAAGAGCTCGCTCAAGAGTTTGAGCTCTGAGCAACAGCGGTTCGATTCCCAGCCCAAGCTGAGCAGCCGCTGAGCTGCCAACAGGTGGCAGGATGGCTCAGCTTAAAAAAAATTAAAAATCACTCTGGCTTTTATATGGAAAAACTATTAGAGGGGGCAATGGGGAGCCCAAAGATGAGGTTCTTGTGTGGGTCAGGGAGAGATGAGGTGGCTTGGATTGGTGTGAAGGCCCAAATATGGAAAAAGAGGGTATATTTTAGACATACAGCAGCCAAGACTGCAGGCGGGTTCCTGATCTGGGGTCTCCTAAGAAGAGCTGATTCTCTGCTCCTGAAGCGGGAGCCTCCAAGTGAGAAGCTCTTTGTAACTATGTACTTCCTGTCACCTGTTGGCAGCTCAGTGGCAGCTCAGCTCCTGCTGGGACTTGAACCGCTGTTGCTCAGAGCTCAAACTCTTGAGTGAGCTCTTAACCAACTGAGACACTCGGCCGGCCCATGCACTTCCTGAACTCTTAACCTGAGTCTGAAACAAGAAGAGGCTGGCTCTCCAGCTAAGCAACAGTGCAGTTTGGCTAGTGAATCCCAGAGTGTGGCCAGGTCAGCCCCAGTTTAGCTCAGAGCCCAGTGAGGGAGAAAAGATAAGGCCACAGTGAACTCCAGGGTGTATGATAAGGGTTCAAGGCAGTGAGCCTTGGGCTGGGAGTTCCCCTCACTTACACTTACAAGGAGAGCAGAGCTCTTTCTCAAAGCCCAGGGCCTCTCGGAGAGGACAAATCTCCCTCTCCCTCTNAAACAAAATAAAGTGAAGGGATAAGACCCCAGCAAAAAGGAACCTCACTCAGAGAGTTGCCTTCCCTTCCTCTGAGACTCTGGGCTCTCTTTCAGCCCAAGCCTCACCCAGATGGACACTCACCCGGTCAGAGTCCTGGGGGCCCCCATGAGACGTCCCATCAGGGTTAAAGTGATCCCCACAGCTAAGAAGAAAAGGTAGCAGATGGGCAGTGAAACAGCAGCTCACAGGCCAAGTGATCCATTCTCTTACTTTAAATTAACTATATTTGTTTCATTCATTCACTCACTCACTCATTCATTCACTCACTCACTCACTCATTCATTTAACAAACAGGCCCTCTCTATGCCAGCCTTTGGGTTGAGGTAACTATAATAAGAACAATTGAACACAGGTCCAATCCTCAATAAGCTTCTAGGGGAGACACAGATGAGTAAACAACTAATCGTATGAGAGCATGACAAACTCCATGACATAGGGGCCTGCCCTTCCCATGTCCAGGAGTCACTTTCCATCTCAGAGGCAGTAAGGTGGCCATGAGCAGGAGTGTCAGGGTCAGATTTTGGTTCAAATCCCTACTTTACTATTTACATGCTCTGGGGCCCTTGATAAGTCATTTAACTTCGCTGAGCCTCAGTTTCCACATCTGTAGACGGGCCCGCGTGTAATGCCTCCCAGGGTACTTGTGAGGAACAGTGTGAAAGTGTGTGTTAAAGGCTGAATACAGTCCCCTGCACATAGTGGGTGCACAACTAGGGGGATGAGGATGTTACAACGGAGGTTACAGACGACTCACCTGTTGCAGTTCCTTGTGAGGTCCCCAAACTGATGGACATGGAGTCCATGCAGCCCAGGCTCCAGGCCGTCAATGGTCCCCTCAATGAGGCAGCGCTCAGGGGTCAGCTGTAGGAAGCGCACCACTCCCTGCACAGAGCCAGCCTCCCCCAGAATGGCCACTGCTGCCCCCAGATTCTCTGCAAAGTATTAGACACGCAGGTTGGCACAACTACCTCACCCAGCCCTTCATCAGCTGGGGAAGGGTATGGAGGGAGTCCCACATAGCTTTTACCCCCCTCCCCAAGGCCTCTCCAACCCAAAGCCCCCAAATCCTGTGGTTAGATTTATATCAGCCCCAGGCCACCTCCCTCCCAGAGAGGCAAGTCCAAGACCACAGCGGTTACTTACGCAAGAGGCCACTGCCCATGCCCTTGAGTACTGCCTGCCGCCCTGTGCCTTCTAGGAGGACTTGCACCTCCTGGCTGGGCAGGGTGGTCTGCACCAGGACCATCTGATTCTCCAGCTGCACCTCCACACTCTGGATACCTGAAGGAGAGAGGGAGCAGAGGGCAGCAGAGGGCTGGCACCCTGTGCTGGGAACAGGGAAGAGAGAAACAGGGGGTGACTCCCCATCCCTGTCTTCACCAACCTGCCCACGGCTGGAGGCAAGCTCGGAAGCTGCTTTCCAGCCGGGGAAGGCCCTTAACCTCTCTGAGTCTGTTTGTTTATAAATAAAGTGGGAATAATGTCACCTTACTCCCAGGACTGTTCTGAGTCCTTATTACATGCCAGGCATTATTTGTAACTTTTGAAGCATAAACAATTCTTTAAAAAATGTTTTTATAAAAGTGGGTTATCAATAGCCATATTATTCATGATAACCCAAAGGTGAAAACAACCCAAATATCCATCCACTGATGAATGGGTAAACAAAATGTGGTGTTTCCATCCAATGAAATACTATTCAGCTATAAAAAGGAATAAACTGATAAACACTATAAAACGGATGAACCTTGAAAACGTTATGTTATGGAAAAGCCCGTCACAAAAGACCACGTATTAGTCAGATGGTGCCACTCTGGATGAAATGTCTGGAATAGATAAGCCTACAGAGACACAAAGTAGATTAGGGGGCAGGGNCAAAGTATAGTTACAAAACACGTCACTGTATGTGGGTCTGGCAAGCAGCAAGAAGAGCCATTTCTGCTTTACCCCGTTTTCCAGAGAGACATCTGCTGCTCACACCAGGTGCTTTTTGTTATGCTCTGTGTTGGGAGCTTTTATAGTAAAAAGATCAAGGAGCGGGAGGGACAACAGAGCCTTGGGGAGCATTTTCAGGACTGGGCTGAGGGAGCAGCAGCAGAGGTGGCCTTCCAGTCCCTCCCCTGCACATGGGTGGGTGGAACCGGGCTGGGTGGCCTTGATGTCACACCAAGCAGCCAGGCAGGGCCTGTACCCTCAGCACTGGGGAGCCAAGAAGGGTTTCAAGCAGGGGCATGACATGGTGACCCCATGCTTTGGAGCAATCCCTCTAGTACAGTGTATGAAGAGAAAGGACTGGAGGAGGACAAGGAGAGAAGGGAACAAAGCTGAGGCCTGTTAGGAGACATGCAAAGGGACAACCAGGTTTGGATATAAATTCCCACATTGAACTCATGTCCATCTGGCCAAAACCAGATACTGAAATCCACATGGAACTCACCAGTCGTCACGGTGGCCGTGGCCACGTAGCCCTTGCTCAAGTCTTCCTCTGTCTATACCAAGTGCTTGGGTACAGCAGAGCAGCTGGCTCCATCCCCTTCTGATTCCCAGCCCTGAGAGGGGCCCCGGCCAGAGCACAGGTCACGAGGTGGTCTCTTGCCCTTCAGAAACCTCCAGTTCATAAGAGACACATAAGCCTGCCAGTTCCCAGATGCTCCTTGCTGGTTCATGCCTCGAGGGCTGTATCTGTGATGTTTCCTCTGCTGAGCCCACTATTCCCACCCTCCCATTCTTCACCTGCCTAATTCCTGCTCAGCACCTTTCAAGGCTCAGCGAGAAAGACAGCCTCTAAGCTGCACCTCCCTGTAGTCACACCCTTGTGTGTTCCCCCCAACTTCCCCGCCCTGCAAAGTGTGGGCTAGATCCAGTGTCACTTCCAAGATTAGGTTCCAAAAAGGGTGTGGCTTCAGTCTTGGGTGCCCTCTCTCGCTCTCACTCACTTGCTCTGAGGGAAGCCAGCTGCAGTTGTTGCCAGCTGCCCTAGGGAGAGGCCCACGTGGCAAAGGACTGATATCGCTGGCCAGCAGCCAAGGAGGCCCCGAGGCCTGGCAACAGCAACACCAGTGAGCATGGGGGCAGGTCCTCCCCACCTCGAGCCTTGAGCTGGCTGTAGCTCCAGCNCTCTCCCTCTCCCTCTCCCTCTCCCTCCATTCTGGGAAACTACAACTTCCCTGCTTAACCCATGAAAAAGCCAAGCTGATTCCAGTTACCCAGATCAAAAACGTAGATTCACCAGGAGTCTTTTTCTGTGCCTAAGAAACCTGCTGAGGGCTAAAAATTGCCCTGTGTCCAACAGAAAGTCCAGCTGTTTGCTCTCCCAGCAAGAACGTTTTACAGGAAGTGAAGAGCCCAACATCCTCAAAAAGCTTTGGTCAAAACACTCTACTCTCAGTGGAATGGTTCAATTTCCACAGACCCTCGCCCACATCCCAAAACACATAGCAAACCCAGCTGCAAGATCTGTCCCCTATTGCCTCTGCCCAGCCAGATGACCATCTATCTGTAAGCCCCTCTCATGCTTCCTAAGATTTAGTGGGCTCTCATGACTTGCTAAAGACTTTTCTAAAGTGCTAATTCACGAATTTACTCTTCCCATCAATCTTCTGGAGTAGCTTCCGTTATTATGCCCATTTAAACACTGAAGAAACAGAAGCACAAAAAGTAACAATGCACAAGGTCCCAGTGCCACTGAGTGGCAAAGAGGAAATCTGAACCCAGTCTAACTTGAGAGCACATACCCGTAACAACTATGACACACTGCTGCCTTATACAGAGCTGAGTGCCACCATTGTCCCAGCGTCAGAAGCCATCTCATCTCATCTCCTACCAGACCTGCTCTTCCATGAGCAATGCTTGTGTGCTCATCTTTACCTGAGGCAGAGGCTGTGCCTGGAAGATTTGTGAACCCTTCTCCCTAAAAAGCCCCCAGAATCTGGTCCATACCTGCTCTATGAACTGGATGAATACACATTTAACAGAATCAAAGGAAGGCAGTTCCAGTGCCATGCTGGTGGCTCTGTCTTCTCATATCTTTCCGATTGTGCCAGGTCACCTCCAGACCAGCTAACTAGCTGGCTTTTAAGGGTCAGGAGATGCCTATGATGGAACATGGCCAGCGCTACTCTTTGCTTTGCTGAGATTATGCTGTTTCCCAGCCTGTTTTCCAGGGAACTCCCTCTGTAGGTGGGGCTATCCTCAGCCTAGCTCCTCACTCTCCAGGCACCTGAACTTTAAGATGCCAGGACAGGCAGTTGCTGGCAGGGCAGGCTTGAGACCTGTACTCCAGGCTCAGTCTGTGGGTCTTTGTATGATTCTGAGAACATCCCTTCCTCTCTCTGGGTTTCAATTTCTGCATCTGTAAAATGGGAGTAGGGTTGGTCTAAAAGATTTGCCGGCCTCTCCCAGAGGCTTCCGGACTGTCCGCAGAAAATGTATCTGGCTCTTACCTGCCACCCCTTGCAGGGATTTGCGCACCGCGTCCACACAGCTCTGACAGGTCATCTGCACCGCGAACTCCAGCTGCAAGGGCGGCAGGGACCGGAGGATGAGAGCTGGGGACCCCTCTTGCGTGACCCTGTTTCACTACCTCTCCTATGACCACCCCAAAAGCCTGGGGAAACGCCCCATGTGACCCTTCCTGAAGCGCCTTCTTCATTCTCAGTCAAGATCAGGATTAACACCCTCCAACATTAACTCCAAGGACCCAGCTACTTCTCGCACCCGTTTACGCAGGGGCCTCCCGCTCCGCCCCTGGTGCCCGCTTCTTTCCTCCCTTCTCGAATTAACGATCATCCCCAGGGGCTGAGGCTCTCTGCCCGGTGAGGCTCCCACACGAGGCTTCACCCCTCACCGTGCAGGCGGTCCCACGGTCCCCCGAGTCCGATGCCATCTCAGACCCAGTCACTGGCCGGAGGACCTGAACTGCTAGAGTTCTGTAGCAGAAACCCGAGCGGCGTCGCGAGGAGGCGGAGCCTTGAAAATCAGACTTTGCCCCGCCTCCTGGTGCGCGCGCACTCAAAGCCCTGCTTCTACCCCTAACGTCCAAAGGGTGAAGAGCACGGGACGCGCAAGCGCACTCGGGCCGTCCGACCCCTGGTTGCCTTAGTAACCGCTTCGCCGCCCTCTGTCCCCAAGACCTGCGCCGCCAGCGCTAGGATGGAGCTCTTTAAACCCGAACCCGAGCTCCAGCAGTTTTACCACCAGTTGCTGCGACCACTGTCGCTCTTCCCACGCAGTGGGACAAGCCCAGAGTCTCAGAAGCCCCTCCCGCAGGCGGTCCCAATGCAACTGCCCCTGACCGTCTCGCGGCTGACCGTGGCGTCACTGTGCCGCCAGGTAGCCAAGCGGCTGGCCCTCAGCGGGCTGGCGGAGCGGATGCCTCCCGAGGGCCGACTCCGTTTCACAGAGGTCATTCTGGACGAGCTAAAGTGTAGCTGGCGGGAGCCTCCCACTGAACCTAGTTTGAGCCACTTGAACAACCAGAGGCTGCGAAAGCGGCTCCTGGTCTACGTCCTGCTCAGCTGTGAGCACCTCTTCTTACGCTACCTGCACCTGCTGAAGACCATGTCGACCTCCTCAGATGTCTTCACTGAATCAGCCACGCTCACCAGGTTAGCCGCCAGCCTCGCCAGGGACTGCACAGTCTTCCTCACCAGCCCCAAGGTCTACCGTGGCCTGCTCTCCGACTTCCGCGCCCTGCTGAAGGTAGAGCAGGCCCAGGGCAACATATACAAGTTGCGCTCCTTCAGGCCCCCTGGGGCTTTCAAGCCATGGTCTCACATCATGGATTTCGCCCAAGGGCCAGGCTGCAGCCTCAGTCTGAACTACCTCATCCAACTCAGCCGCCTGCCAGAGTTTTTCAGTGAGCCAGAACCGGATCCAGTGAAGGAATTGAAGTCCATCCCACACCTGAAGAGAAGGCCTCTCCACTGGCTGCCCGCCATGCAAAGGAAGGGAGAAAGCAGCTTCAATTCCTTACAGATTGTGTCACTGCCCACATACAATGTGGCTCCCACCAGCGAGTCTCCCCCCAGCTCCCATTTGCCCCTCTACTCCCATCTCCAGAAGGGCCAGTCCATGCCCTCTCTGCGTGAGGGCTGGAAGCTAGCAGATGAGTTGGGCCTTCTTCCACTACCGCGTCGTCCCTTAACCCCTCTGGTCCTGGTTACAGAGAGCAAATCAAAGCTGGCAGGGAATATGGTGGCTGAGGACCTGAAGCAGATAACGAGGAACATGAAATTGGAGTGGACTCACTACTCACCGCTCGACTCAAGCCTGCCCCTGCTCCTGGGATCCCTGACCCACCGCTCAGTTGCAGCACATTGCATGGAAGAGCTGCAGAGAAAGCTGAATGAGGAACAAGAAACCTCTGGACAGCGGGGCCCCAAGTCCCCCAAATCCCCTCCACTTCATCCACAGCCAGTGACTATTACTTTGAAGCTAAGAAATCAGGTAGTGGTCCAAGCAGCTAGTGTACAGGTCTCTGAGAGAAAGCTTTTGGATTCCGTCCACGTTGAGGGGACCGGAGTCCTATACAACCATCTGGCTGGTGAACTGGAACCCAAACTTATAGAGGAAATGGATAGTGATCGCTTTGTTGGTAATAGCATCCGGGAGGTCTACAAGGAGTTGATGAGCCTTGTCTCTCTTGACCACTTCTCTTTTGACCAGGGATCCATGATTGAGCCTGCAGCCAAAAAAGATTGGTCGATGTTCCTGACCTCAGCCTTTCTGCGTCAAGGAAAACAGTGTTGTGTCACCAACCCCAAGCTAGCTGGACTTTATTCCCAGAGAGCAAACACTTTGCAGTCCAATCCGAATAGAATGTCCTCCCTTACATCACCCCAAATAAGCAAAGGCTGGGAGAGGCAGTCAAGCAAGGCCTTGTGGATGAACCAGTGGAAAACCTCGTTGTCCGTGGATGACTATTTCAGGTATCTCACCAACGAGGAGACAGATTTCCTCCATGTCATCTTCCAAATGTTTGAAGAGGAGGTTCCTGTGGAGATCGTGGCCCCTGTCAGAGAGTCCCTAAAGATTCAGCACCCACCTCCATTGCTAGAAGATGAAGAGCCAGACTTCGTGCCAGGGGAGTGGGATTGGAACACAGTGCTGGGGCACAGGCTAGAATCTAAGGGGACCAACTTCCTGGGAGAACCCCACCAAATCCAGAGCCTGCAGAAACGTCTGGAGCGACTGTGGTCCATGTTTGAAGTCCCCAACAAGGACCGGCTGGACATGGCCATCAAGTACAGCTCCAATGCCCATCTGAGGCAGCTACCTTCATTGGTGAGTGCCTGGGAGCAGGCCCTCCAGCCCATTCATCTTCGGGAGATGTTGTTGGGGAAACTGGAGTGGTTTGAGCGACAGGCCTCCGACCCCAACCGTTTCTTCCAAAAGTCCAGCAGTTGCTTCCTGGAGGAGAATCAGATCCGCAACCATCTACACAAGAAGCTCCGTCTAATGGAGGCTCCTTTGGCTTCGCTTCTGGAGGAGATTGAGTTAATCTTCAGCGAGCCAGTGACCTTCAAGGGGCGGAGCTACCTGGACAAGATGAAGCACGACAAAGTGGAGATGCTCTACTGGCTGCAGCAGCGGAGGCGGGCGCGCCACCTGGTCCGGGCCCAGAAGGCTTCCCACCAGTCAGCCATGTTTGGCAGGCTCAGCAGCCAGCATTTAATAGCCCCTGGGAATAGTCCCATTACCCTCTGACCAGGCCAAGTGCCCTCACATCCCCCCCTCACCCCTCAACACCCAGCAGCTCATCCAGGCCTCTTGATTGCTTTGGAAGAAGAAATAACTGGGAGTGCAGGCTTCAGGAACACTGTGCTTCCAACTACCAAGGGACTGAGATTAACACTTTATTTTGACAATTCTCACAAAAGAACCCCCAGCCCAGTATTCCCATTTATGTCAAGCTAAGCACAATACAGCCAAAAATCTCATATATCAAAAGAACTGAGACCATCCCTTGGAGTTTATTGTAGTGGGAAATATCAGACAGAGGCAAACCATCACCTTTGGAATACTTTGGCATTTTTATTATGCTACATTAAATTGGCTGATAGGCTCTGTGGCACAATGGTTAACAGCTAGGGCCCTGGAGCTAGTAGATATGGGTTGAAACCCTGGTTGTGTAACCTTGGGCAAATAACTGTTCTGCACCTGGGCCATCATATGTCAGATGAAGAGGTTGGGTCCAGATTGTCACTTCTTCCAGTTCCAGCATACTATTGGTAGAGCTAAGCATTTTTATTCAATTTTTACCAATTAATACAAGCACATGGTACAAAGTACACAAGGGTATGTACTGAAAAGTCTCTCTTCCATTCCTACCTCCAGTACCTCAGTTCCCCTCCCTGGGGGTAACAACTGTTACAAGTTTCTTGTGTATCTTTCCATTCCCTTTTCAGCAAATAATGATTGAGTACCTACTAGGTAGTTTTTGCTTGGTCTGTATCACCAAACAAAACAAAGACCCCCTACCCTTTGTAGAGTTTACATTCTACTGGAGGGAAACAAACAATAAACAATAAACATAGTACCTAAGAACATTGAATAATAGGACGTTAGAGAGTGATAAGTACTGTGGAAAAAAAGAAAAAGTAGAGTAGGGTAAGAGGAAATAAAGGGTGAGGGACAGTCAGTGTAGGCCTCACTAGGAAGGTAAGATTTAAACAAAGGCTTGAAGGAGAGAAAGAAGTGAGCCCCGTGGACATCTGAGATGACAGCTTTCCTAACAACCTAAGTCAACCAGATGCCTGGGGTGTCAGAAAAGCAAGGTGGCCAGCGTAGGTGGAGCAGAGTAAGGGAGAGAGATGAATCAGAGGGGTCATGACAAGGTGCCTAGAGGCTGGTTAGATTATGTAAGTCCTCGTAGGTCATTGTATAAACTAGTTCAGAGATAGCCTATGCACATATGAGCATATAGGTATGTATTATCTATGCATATGTTCATAACCACACCAATGGTTACATTGGTACCCGTTTTGCTGTACCTGTTTTGCTTCTTTTTTCATGTAGCATGCCTCAAGCTCATTCAATATCAATACACATAGAACTGCCTTATTTTTTGATAGCTATAGAGTATTCCACGGTGTATTTTTATTTTATTTAACTAGTTTCTTATTATTGGACATTTACAAACAAAAACAATGCTCTAAAAACATCTTGTGTTCATCTATTTAGGATTGCAACTATTTCTATAGTTTAAACTCCTGGAAGTGGAATTATGTGTGAGCATAAGCATTTGTCATTTTGATAGATATTACTGGTTATCCTCTACAAAGGTTGTAACAATTTGCATTGTCATCAACATTGTATGACTATACTTCTTTGCCCACTCTCAACAATAGTGTTATCAAACTTTTTAATCTTTATCACCTAGTAGGTGAAAAATGGTATCTTATTTGAGTTGTGTTCTCATTTATGAGTGAAGTTGCATTTTTCACGTGTTTGAAAGCCATTTTTATTTACTTTTCTGTAAAATGCCCATGCCCTTTGCCCACTTTTCAACTGGCTTCAACTATTTTGTTTTCTTGATTTGTATTAGGTTGGTGCAAAAGTAATTGCTGTTTTTGCCATTACAATTAGTAACAAAAACCACAATTACTTTTGCATCAATCTAATATATTCAGGAAATTTAGCTAACATGTTAGTCGTTACCTTGGGCAGAACACTTTCCCTGCATGATTCCTTAGACTCCTCACCACCTGTGAGGTATATATTTTAATCTCCATTTTACAGCTGAGGACATGAAGGCTCAGGTAAGTAAAGTAACTTACCCAGAGTCATAAAGGTAGTAAATTGGTGAGCCAGGACCGAAGACTAGGTCCGTCTGACCCGGAGGCCTACATGCGCCTTCTTGGTGTACTGATTCTGTGAGATATGGTAAGAGAGCTCTTAGACATGGCCTGCCACACCTGCCAACACAGGTAATGGGAACACCTCTGCGGGAGACTGGCTCCCACAAGTCCAGGGATGGGAACACCTCTGCGGGAGACCGGCTCCCACAAGTCCAGGGGTTCTCTTAGGTGGAGACGGAGTCGGAGAGGAAAGAACGCGGAGACAGAGAAGCGCTTTTCAAGATTTAATGTCTCACTTTATTTTTACAGCCTGTCCTTTTTATACTGGGCAGGTAACTATTTACGTCATTGAGCTGTTTT